CTGCCCGCGCGCCGCCCGCCCGACACCCCCTCCCGCGGCACCGCAGGCCGAGCGCCGAGCCCCCCAGCACCCCAGTCCCGGGAGAGGCACCCCCACCCCACTCCAGGCCGCGGGGGTGGAGCGGGCGAGCGCTGGGCCCCTGCAGCTGCCCCGGCAGAGTGGCAGAGCCACCGGTCGCCCAGTGCTGTGCCCCCCCCGCGCCCCCGAGCGCTGCTGGCTCCGCGGAGCCGGGGGCAGCCCTGCGCGGCTGTCAGTGGTCCTGGGGCTGGGTCAGGGCCGCTCTTCACACTTGCGGGCAGGTGCAGGGCTTCTGCACCCCACCCCAGCGCCCTGCTAAGTCCTGAGCCCTAGATGCAGGGTCTGGTGCTGCGTGGTTGCCACCCACCGGGCACCCGTCCCGCGGCCTGGCCCCGGGTGAGCCCTGGCCAGCGCCACGCCCCACCGCCGCCTCCCTGGGCAGCTGGTCTGTCCTGCCCCCTTGGTGCCGGTTCCCCGGGCGGCCTCCGCCCCTGTGCCCAGGGCACCCGCTCTGGGCGCCTGCCCACAGCCGCCCCCGCCCCTCCCCAGCTCCGCTCCCGGGCCCACGCTGCATCCGCCCTGCGCCGGCCGCCTCGGGGGTCCAGAGCCCCAGCCCCGGCGCCCTGGCCGGCACAGGGGCAGTGGAGGAACCGTCAGCCCACGGCCGGCCGGCCCACGGCGCTGCCCGCCCCCCCAGGGCAGCGCCCGGCCAGAGGCCCCGGGCAGTGCAGGCGCCCCAGTGGGGCCAGTGGCTGTGGAAGCTTTAATGCGGCGCGGCGGTCACCAGATGAACATGGGCTTGCCGTCGTCGTGCGCCAGCCGGCTGAGGCAGGACAGCAGCAGCAGCGCGTCCGTGAGCACGCTGGGGTGCACCGTCTCCACCAGCACGCGCTGCAGGAAGTCCACCGTGTAGCCGCCGCCCTCGGTCGCGGCCAGCTCGGGCCGCTCCCGCAGGATGCCGTAGGCGTTGACCAGCTGCTCGGTCAGCGCGGGGTGCACGCGCCCGTTGTAGCCCAGGCTCTGCAGCCGGTTCATGATGCTCACGTAGCGCTGCGTGAGGGTCTGGCAGAGGTCCTCGTCCAGCTTGTGGTTGTGGGGGTTCAGGGAGGCCTGTGGGGGGGCGGCCGTCAGCCGGCGGGAAGACCCAGGACAGGGCGGCTGGCAGAAGCACCCC